GAAGTTCCAATGCTGCTTCTTCCTCAGGGGTATGTTCTGGGTCTGTATCCTGCTCCCTTGTTTCCACCACTTTGTTTCTTCGTGTGGACTCTGATGGTCTGTTGTCTCTAAGACATTGTGATGTTGTTGTATTTAGATCTCTGTTAACTGTGAAACGCAGTTAAGGGTGAGGTCAGGCTCTTCTTGGTGGTCGTTTATTGTTGTTCACTTGGTGGAGAAGGAAGTGGTGGTTCTCACTCAGTAAGTTGAGCTGCAGGAGGTGAGGGTGTGGTTGCATCATATGGGCACAGTTGCTGTCTCCCGCGCAGTTAGACAAAAACAACAAACAAGTAAAAGCAAGAGGACAAAATATATATACCGCATAAACACACAGGAACAATCACCAAAAAAAGAAAAAAAAAACCAACCTGCAATATCTGGGGAGGAGGCAATAAGAGAAAAGAAGTAGAGTAGGAGAATAATGAAAAAACATGCAAAAAATGCAAAAAGAAAAACAAGGAATGGGGAGAACCACAAGAAAGAAAAAGAATGGGAACCAGGAACAGGGAAAAGAGAAAAAGCTGAAAACTAGAACCTTTCCAGTGTTCGTGTCTGGAATCTCCTTGTGGTCCCTGGCAAGTGGAGCCTATTCTTAGCTCCTTGGAATATGGGAGAACGTTGTCGTTTTAAATATCCAAAATGGCTGAACCACTTGTAAACATACAAAATGACTACACCCCACGGACAGCCAAAAGTCCACGGCTCAGCCTGTCTCCCTCTTTGCTGCTTCCCCTTTCATTCATCGTCACCAGTGCTGTCTTCCGTGCAGCCTCTGGGTGCTCCTGTTGTTATCTGCCATCAAGTCGGATCCGACTCATAGCAAGCCCTCCTTGGGTTTCCGAGGCAGTATCACTACAGAAGTAGATTGCCCAACCTTCCTTCCAAGGAGGGGCTGGTGGGTTTGAACTGCCAGCCTTCTGGTTAGCAGTCAAGTGCCTTAGGCACTACGCTACCAGAGCTAGCAGGGCTGATCTTTAGGTCAATTCTCAGGTCCCTACACCACCTTGCAATATCCAAGCTGTCCACGCTGTCAGGATTGCCAACGGACTGCAGCTCCATATGTCTACTTTTTTGGTGTTTTCATGCAGGTTCTTCCACAAGTTGGAGCCCAGTCCACTTATGTATCCTTCCCTTCAAAGCTCAGGGCTCCAGGATTATCCTCTGTATCTGTGTCAATGGGTTCCCCTTTTGTTTGTTGAAGAGGGTCTGTGCAGTCTTTCCGCCTATTCCACCATCTTACTGGAATGCTCTCATACAGAAACTGTTTTAAAAAAGAGTGAAGAAGAGAACTCTTCCAACTTATTCTATGAGGCCAGTAAACAGTTGGACATGAAAGACAGACAGATACAAGAAAACTGCAGACCAGTATCCCTCATGAAAATAAGTGTCACAAGCCTTAACAAAGTATTAACCACATATCAACATACAAAAATAATTATGCTTTATGACAAAGACAGGTTTATTCTAGGAATAAAAGATGATTTTTACATCCAAAAATCAACTGATAGAAAGCATACTAGTAATAGAAAAAAGGGCTTTTTGATCATATCAACAGAAGATGTGACAAAATACAATGCCATTCATGACAAAAATTCTCAACCAAGGATAGAAGAAACTTCTTTAATCAAATAAAAACATATTTACAGAAACCCTACATATAACATCACACTTACTAAAAAGACTTTAGTAAGTCTTTTTTCACCATAAGATGGTCAATGTGTCAAAGCCCCGGGCAGTAAGGTGGATCACACCTGAGGCCAGCGAGTGGGGGTTGATCAGACCATGAAGGAAACCTGGAGGCTCAATGCTAAGACTTAGGAAGCACCGTGTAATCTATCATGGCCCTGCAGCTGGAAGACCGAAGCTCAGGGAGCTTCCTGGGGGGTGAGAGTGAACATGTTCTTGGGAGGGTATGTGAATTCCCTGGAGACATGCCCTATGTGGATCCTTTTTTTCTGCTAAATTAAAGATAGCCCTTTCCCCAGGGTTTTCAAGTCCTATCAATGGATTATTAGGCCTAAGAAATCAAGAAGCGGTACCCAGTGACCTGGCCCTGGGTGACTGGGCATGAGGGAGAAAGGGCTGCATAGAGCAGCAGGGGACTGGAGTGACTAGAGAAGGAAGGCTGAGGTGTCTACAGGACACTACAGGGATTTGCTACCCACTCTCAGAAGTGGGTATTTTTGCCACCCTAAAGTGGTTTGACATGATTAGCACAGCAAGCAGGGTTAGTGAAGAAACACTCCTCGAGAGTGAAATTGGGACCAATACAAGGATGTCCACTCTCACTTATTCCCCTCAACATTACACAGGACGGGCTAGGTGGTATAGTAAGACAAATAATAATAATACTTAAAGGTGTACATCTGGGAAAATAAGACATGAGAGTGTCTTTATTCACAGATGGCACAATCTTCTATGTAGAAAATTCCTACAGAACACACACAAATAGAAAAACGTGAGTTTTGCAAGGATACAAGAGTAGAAAAACATTGTAATTTTTAGGGCATTGAGCAAAGTACTCGAAAGGTATTCCTTCAGTAGTAGAAAAAAATCAGACCTAGGTTAAAGGTGATGGTGGTGCAGAGGTTAAAGCGTTTGGCTGCTAACCAAAAGGTCAGAAGTTTGAACCCACCAGCTGCTCTGCAGGAGAAAGATAAGGCAGTCTGCTGCCATCAAGAGTTACAGTCTTGGAAATCCTATGGGGCAAATCTACTCTGTCCTATAGGGTGGCTATGAGTTGGAATCAACTCAGTGGGAGTGGGTTTTGGGGATTTAGGGTAAAGCCTGCTCTGTTCCAGACAGACAAAACTGTTTCCAAGTAACTGAAATGCAGCCCAGAAGAAGAGTATTTCAAAACGCAGATATCTAAAACACTTAAAAATACATTTTACACAAGGTCAAGTATATTTATAGAAACACAAAAATATTCAGCCCTCAACAAGGATATAATCCACAAACTTGACATTCAATCAAGAATTACCATGCACGCGAACAAGTAAGAAGTACGATCTGTAACATGAAGACTAAACCAGAAAATTCTACACAGATGATAGAATTAATAATTAAGAAGACTGAAATTCAGTATAACTACATTTCAAGGAGCTCTGGTGGCACAGTCATTAAGACATTTGGCTGCTAATCAAAAGGTTGGCAGTTTGAACCCACCAGCTGCTCCATGGGAGAAAGATGAGGCAGTCTGCTTCTGAGAAGACTGACAGTTTTGGAGACCTAGTGGGGCAGTTTTACTCTATCCTACAGGGTGGCTATGAGTTAGAGTTGATTTGATGGCAGTGGATTTTTATAAGTACGTTCCATATATTCAAGAAGGGTGAGAAAAGCCAAGCATGTAAAGAAGAGACATGGAAGTTTTTTTAAAAAAGACCAAAATGAACTTTCAGAGATGAAAAGTTTACTGGATGAAACCAACAGCAGAAGAAAAGATCAGTGTACATGAAGACAGCTGGAGAGTGAAGGTATGGCTGACCTTCACCTCAAGAGAACAAGCTTTATGCTGATCCTGGCTCTTACCCGTCACGGAAGTAGAGGAGATCAGACGTTAGATTACAAGTTACTCTTAAGAACAGTAGAGATCATGGTGAAAGGCAATTGTGAGATCTATGCATTTAATGAAGATACAGCCTAGACTGGAGGCCAGCTAGTTTGCAGGACAGAACAAGTACATAAAATCTCTGGGAGGAGCCCTCCTGAAGTCAGAACAAATAGCAAAAAGGGATCTCGGAAACTATTCCATCAGGAGTCACAATTCGACCAGATTAGTTTGCAGAGCAATTGAGGCCTCAAGGCATCATCAAAAACAATTGTACAATTATCTGGCAATCAGTGGAGCTGAGCTGCTGAGTGGGGCTGGGAAGGAGAGGGACAGAGTCCTGTGCCACTGTTGTCCCTGGTGGGCAGACCCAAAGATGTGTCTCACTGAGGTACAACACTAGAGGCTTAACACTGTGTATGTGTGTGTATGTGTATGTGTGTGAGAGAAAGAGAGAGAGAGAGAGAAAGAGAGAACGAGAGAACGAGAGAGAAAGAAAGAGTTCATTAAAACAATCCAGCTAGACACTAAAAAATAAGCAAGCAAATAACAAGTCCCAGGGGGAAAGGGTGAGACTGGTGCTCAGAGCTGCTATATTATCTAAAATGTCCAGTTTCCAACCAAAAATTACAGGACATGCAAAGAAACAGGAAGGATGGGCCAAACATCAGAGGAAAAAAAGCATACAACGAGAACTGCCTGCGAGACAGACCAGATGTCAGATTTAACAAGAAAAACTTCAATACAGCCATTATAAATATGTTCACAGGACTAAAGGAAACTATGATTAAATAAGCAAAGGATGATGACAATGTCACACCAAATAAAGATTATCAATAAAGAGTAGCAATTACAAAAAAAGAACAAATGGAGACGCTGCAGTTAAAAAATATAAAAAGAGAAATAAAAAATTTATCAGAAGGGCTCAAGAGATTTGCCAGAAGAAGTAACTAGCAAATGTGAAGACAGATGCATAGAGATTATGAAATCTGAAGAGAGACAAAAAATTAGCGACTCCATGCAGAGGCATACAAAATAATTATGGACCATGATCAAGTGGGACTCATCCCAGGAATACCACTTATGTGTTCATAGAAGGCTGACAAAGGTAGGGGCAATTTTTCTTACGCTATATTTTGGGTACAAAGATCTTCAATTATACTGTTCCTTAAACCTGCTGCCACAGAGCTGATTCTAATTCATAGTGACCACTCATGCTGTCAAACTTTTACACATATAATACCCATAATACAAGTAAAGCTGCGGGGAGCTGTATCATCCTCAAGTCTAGAAGTGATTTTACAAGTCATTTAGCCCACGTTTCTGTATTATGCCTGACTTTCCCATGGCAAGTCCCAGTAAGTTCAAATGACAGCACTTAAAACCTGTCTTCTGTTTTTGTAATACTTACCCAGCTCCACAGGTAACATTTTGATAGGATTTCTTTCTAAAAGCAAAGTTTTCAAATGCCTTTAAAACAAAACAAAATAATAATTTTGAAAGCAGAAAATTAAATGACCACCCTTAAAATATACCATGAAATTTCATTTTTGTTCTTTAAAGGGGCAGCTTTAATACAGTTGTACACATTTCTATATTTAAAGATATAGACACACACACACATATTGTCCACTGCCATTAAAAATGTGGCTCTAAACTGGCTGACCTAAGCCAGACTTCTCATCAGCACTACTAACCTTCGGTGGCAGATAAAAATTTGTGGGTGGCTATCCTTGGAATTCTAAGATGTTGGCAGCACCCACAGCCTCCACTCATTAAACGCCAGTAGTCCCTCCCCAGTTTTCACAATCACAAAAGTCTCTTAGACATTGCCAAAGCCTCTTGGCAGCAGAACTGGCCCAGACTGAGAAGCCCTGATATGGGCTGGTACCCCAAGTGGTACCAGTGTCTGCTGAGATGTGTTTTGAGGAAGGCCAGGCTTTGAAGACACTCTAGGAGGAAGGTTTCCTGTGGTAAAAAACGCTGGGGAGATCTCTACTGCACAGTGCATCATATGCACAGTGCATGACTCTGAGAAGTCTTAAGGTCAGGAAGCAGGTTTAAGGTAGCGTTTCCTGAACATACGTGACCACAGAGTCCATCTTTCATCTCACTAACATTGTGCAGTGCAGCCATCAGGAGGCTCTCGCCTATCCTGTTTTTGTTGGCTTTTATGGATTCTCCTGTTTTTCTTTCTTCTCCTAAGGGTTAAGTCAAGTTCCACCCTCTCTGAAGAGCTGTTTCATGTTAATAGTTGGTAGTAAACCATTGACATGAGCACTCCCGCTCATCTCCACCCCATCTTCCCTGAATCTCACTGAGCACTGACACCTGTAACCAGCCCCTCCCTCTAGGCTCTGGGAATGCAATTCCAGGTGTTATTTCACAGGTTGTGTGTGTGTGTGTGTGTGCCAGTACCTTCACAATTTAAGAATGTAAAGTCCTTGAAGACAGAGGCTATGTACTTTGCTGCTTCTAATTTCTTATAAAATCTACCACAAAATACATCAGAGAGGAGGGAGGGAGGAAGGCATGTTTACCAACTACCAACGTGAAAGTACACAGGGGATTTTTCACCCATCTGATATCGTAAGATAATTCTTGTGCACACTTCAAATGATAAACTTATCAATCTTAATCCCTTAAAAATGATCAGTAATTCTGTTTACTCACTGATCACTTCCTATCACTGACTCTCCACTGAGCATGTAAATTTATATTGAATTGGATTTGCTTGATTAAGGAGGCATATGAACTGATCAATACTTTCTCGTCCTGTCTCTGCTAGCAAGCTTACAGCCAGACATTGAGAAGGGAGAACATTAATACTGTCATTGTTTTAACCACACATTTTGAAAAGATTAAGGCTTTTAATAAGCCCACAATTACTTAAAATTCCTAATTAATATGTTTGGGCTCTTCAGCAAGTTGATCTACTTTAATGATATATGGGCTGTAAAGCACATGCAAGATTATATCTTAAACCCATTAAGCAGCTGGCTTTGACTGGCAAAGTCAAAGAATCCCCAAATTTCAGAATTGTGTTTATTTTCAGAAAATGCGTCACACTTACGGGACTAGGCTTTAGTTTATTTTTACCCTTTGAGTAGCAGTTACTCTCCAGAATTAGATGCTAAGGCAAAAACAACGTGGACAAAAAGAAGTCCATTATTCTAAGCACAGACCTTTGAAAAACTGGGCCTTCTCCCACTGCCCAGGACCACAAGCTCAGAAGATCCACAAGGCCACTCAGGTCAAGCTCCCAGGACAAGGTGGCTCAGACTCCTATCCTGCCACCAGCTGGCCAGCCAGGGCTCAGCACATGCCAGTGGCACCTCGTTGGAACCCAAGAACCCTGCCCTCCTGCTGTCACGTGTGCACCCTAGCAGGTGTCCTGCACCGCGTACCTAACGTTCCAGGGCTGCCCTGATGTTTCAGAGGGGCTGTCAGCTGTCTGACACAGACGTGCTTCAGAACTGGGGAGGTGCCCCTGGACACGTCCCTTCCTCCCAGGGCCCACACCCTGCCATCCCCGGCCCTCTCGGCCCCTCTCCACTGCAGCAGCTTCCTGGCTGGTCTCCTAACCTCATCCTGACAGTGACTCCATCACCCCCATAGAAAGCCTTGTGACTTCCCATCTTGTTCAGAGCAAGATCCACAGCTGCAGCCAAGCACAGCTGCTGCCCTCTGTGAGGCCACCTCCCCACACACCTTGCTCGCATCAGTCGTGGCATCCTTGCTGCCCCCCACCTGCCCAGCCCACTCCCACCTCAGGCCTCTGTGGGCTGTCCTCTGCCCAGAAACGTGCTCCCCCGATGACGCGGCTTACTCCTTCCTTCCGAGTCCTGGTCAAGGATCATGTGCAAGCACTACCTACTCTCCGCCCGTCGCTGTTCTCGGCGCCCATCGTGGCTGGCACACTGTGTGTTTATCTGTCATCTGTCTCTAAGGTCCCCACTGGAGTGCAGCTCCCTGACTGTGCCAGCTTCACCCCCATGTGCTCTGGGCAGCATACAGGAGGTGCTCGGCAGTGCTGGCTGACGGACTTTGTAATGAATTCTTTATCTCAGTGATAAATAAATAAATACATTCTTTACCTCACTCCTGATAAGGTGCATGCCAGGCATCAGAGACTTCTGCGACCTCAGAGGAATAAAGGGACTGTGCGGAGCAGGGAGGTGCCCCACAAATCAGCACCCCACATGTGAGTGGGTGAGAAGATGGACTAGGGGGAAGGGTGGGAGGGGGCCTTCAAAAGAAGAATCAGTCATTCTGTGTCCCCAGAGCAGCTCCCAAATGCTTTACTCCTCCGTCGACTCCACCCCAAGGCTGAGCCTGCCCCTAGTGGCTGAGCACCGCCCACAGCTGTCTGCTAGCTCTGGGAGGAGGGAGAGCAGGCATGCTCACTGGAGGCTGTGGCCTGGAATGGGGGCTGGGCAGGCTGCAGGGTGGACTCACACACGTCCTGTCACTGCATTTCCAGCCCCCACAATTACTAGTGTGAAGTTTCAAGTACCTTCCAGGAGGGTCTCCAAGGTTCTCAGAAGCTGTAGGGCTGTGTTCGTCTCTGAATGGAAAGCTGTGGCCATGCAGGGAAGGTCAGGGTGACAGCTGCACAGTACACTGGAGGGACGGGAGGGAAGCCCACAGCTGCTGCAGAGGGCCACGTGAGGACAGGAAGGGCTGGTGTAGTGAAAGTGCCCTGGCGGAAGCCTGCTCTGGCATGGCTGGGATCAGGGCTGCAGAAGCACGGCCGCAGGTCACACACTGCTTGCCCTGGGGTTCAGACGTCCCCCCTGGAAGGATGTTATGATTTACCGGAAACAGACACCCTCAGGTCCTCGGGAGTCCAGTGTCTGGGCTTACCTCCGTCAGCTGCATCTTGAGCCTCCAGGCCACTGATGTGAGGCACCATGGTGTGCAACACAGGGTCAGGGGAAGCAGCAGTGCCAAGCCCACGGGGAGTGCCCAATAAAGGCGCCCTTGCTCCTGGCATTCCCAGCAGCACTAAGTCCCTAAATTATATCCTAAGGATCTGCACTGGGAACATGCAGCCAGCACCCCTTTTAGCTGGCACCGAAAACATCATTCAATGTTTCTATTCTGAAGTCAAAATTCAATCATGAGTAGAAGCAGCAAACCAACCACCCACTAGGCATTCTGCATGTTTTAAGTAGATGACAATTTTTCAACAATTCGTCAACATCAACCTAAGGCTTACTTGTGTGACCCGATCCCCGAGGGAAGAGCTTTAATCCTATTGAAGCGGAGGTCTAGCCACGTCAGGTTCGGCAGCAGCTGGAAGAAGTCTTTAGGAACCGTGCAGAGGGAGTTCCTCTGAAGATACAGTTGCTTCCAGAGGAGAGAAATGATGAATCAGAGAGCGTTCTGTCAGCCAGCACGCAACACGCGACTTCAAAACATGCTACACCCAAGGAACGTCTCCAGAGCCACCAGCCGCTGCAGTCACACACATCACCTTCCAGAGACGAGGCGTCACTGTGCACAGTGTGGACGGCAGGCTGAAGACCAGGAGAGGAGCACCTGCTCAGGCAGTCTTTGGGCAGAAGGTGGTTGCCCATTCAGCAGACGACTCGGGCTCCAGGCCCACGCATGCCACACTTTTCCTGTCAGGTACGCTGACCCCAAACCTAATCCCACAGCTTTTTTTTTCCTTAAATTTTCTCACTGTGATTTGGGTGAAAGTTTACAGAGCAAATTCACTTTCCATTCAACAGTTCATACACATTTTTTGTGGGCAATGCCCATGATGTAACAGCTGTCTTCTCACTCCCTCCCTATAGTTCCCTTTCCCCTGTGTCCTTTCCTTTACCTTCCTGCCCTCTGAGCTGTGTCCCTGTGCAAATACCACCCTTCTGGTCTCCCCTGGTTGGTTGTTCTAAGGAGTATACCTGTGTAATTGTTCACCTTGTACCTGTGTAACTCTTCACCTTGTAGGGCTGTCTATTGCTTGGCTGGAAGCCACGGGAGTGAGTTCAATTCCAGGCTGAAAGGGTGAGTAGGAGCCATAGTCTTGGGGGTTCCACCAATCTCTATCAGACCAGTAAGCCTTGTCTGTTTTATGATTTTGAGTTTTGTTCCACATTTTTCTAAGATCTCCTACTTTGATCCCTTTCCTAGCAGTTGACAGTAGTAGCCAGGCACCATTTAGTTCTTCTGGTCCCAGGGTCAAGCAGACTGAAGTTTGCATGAGCCACGAGTCCCTTAGCCCAACTGTTTCCATGCACCTTGATTTTCTTCATTCTTCTTTGCTCCAGACAGGGAGAGACCAATTGTTGTACCTTAAATGGCTGCTTGCAAGCTTTTAAGACCCCAATTAAAAGCAGGATGCAGCACAGTATTTTTACGTAGTATGTTATGCTAATTGAGCTTGATGTCACCCCCGAGCACGGTGCCCAGCCTGTGAGTCCAGTGCCTCACCCCCTCAGGTGTCTGGCTAGGAAGTCAGTACCACTTTGCTCCACTAGCTCTACAATGCATGTGAACACTCTTAGAGCATCCAGACTCATATGGAAAAATATCATCTGCCAAACTCATATATAATCCCACAGCTTTTCAGTTACTCTTCTCCTTCCTAGGAGGATTTCCGGCACTTTTCTCTCCTAGAGAGACCCACCCACCACCATCATGTTGATTTCGACTCACAGCGACCCTACAAGACAGAATAGAACTGTTCCACAGTGCTCCCAAGGCTGTCGGCCTTTATGGAAGCAGACGGGCTCATTTTTCTCCTGCAGAGCAGATGGTGGGTTTGAACCACCTACCTTCTGGTTACAGCCAAATGTTTTAACCACTGTGCCACCAGAGCTCCTTCTCCTAAAGAGAAGCTTCCACGGAAAAGGCCAAGGGCTGAGCGTGCGACTCTCCTCGAAGGAGCTGCCCACTTACTTTCAGCATGGGCACTCTGAGGACCTCTCCCAGGTGCTGCAGGCCACTCTCACTCAAGTCTAACGCTGGCAAGGAAGAGAGAGACACCCTCTCGGAGGTATCCTCGTGCCCGTCCCAGGAGGTGGGGGCAGGCTCGGGCCTCCCTCTCCCAGCATCATCCTCAGGACCCTCAGCAGCCCCGTGGGGAACTTGGTGAGTGCGGCTCCCCTCCATCTGTCCACCGTGAGAAAGGGGTGTTCCAGCGACTCCTGCTCATCCTCCCTGGTCTGCAGTCACCTGGAAATGAGGGAGGGTGTGGCAGTGCACAGTTAGGTGTGCTCCTATGGTAACACACATAGAACATAAGGACTATGCCATGCAGGGGCACCTAAGCTTACCACATCTTCACTGGCAATCAGAGATGTTGTAAATCTGAACTTTAAATCGGCAAAAAAATGCAATACAAGAAGGTTCAGGTTAAAATTCTCTCCTCCTCAGTTTGTATCCTGAGTCCCAAGATTTAAGGTTAATGCCTGAAAAAATGCAAAGATGCAGAACAGGAATGGTGATGTTAAGAATGCAAGGAGATGAGACCATTTCAACGTCTGTCAATCAGTTGTTTCCTTTCATGAAACACATGGTGGGTCCCTGAGTGTGCAGCTCCCCATTCCACCCTGCGTCTGGGCCAGTCACAGTGCCTTGGGGCCAGCGGTCCAGGTACACTGCTTTGTGTACCACTTTGGCCCAGTGACCAGCCTGCGATGCTGGAGACACATTTGTGAAGTCAGAAAGCTGAATTTTCGTTTTACAGCAATTCTTTTGGTAAATCACAAACTTCAGGACGCAAACCCTCGCTAAGCGGTAATCCGCCCGTGAACGCCGCCTTCCAGAACCGCATCCCCTCGTTTGACACGGTCCACCGGCTAGCCCCCCACTGACGCCCACGTTAGAGACCGCGAAGCTGAGTTCAGATCAGATGACAAACGGCCCGAAGAGCACACAATGGGGGCCCCCGAGGCGACGTTCGAACCCCGGTATGATGACCTCGAGTTCCACAGGGGCCCGGGGCTTTTCAAGGTTCATTTCTGCCAATCACACAAGTTGGAGGGCCTGGTCCCAACACCCTACACCCTCCCAGCAGGAAACTGTCTCCGAGCCCGCGAGACTGGGCTGGCGCTCAGGGATGACACCAGCGGCGCGCGCTCCCAGCGTGCCCTGCCTCCGCCTCCCAGCCAGGCCTGGCTGGGCTAGAGCTCTGGTCTTGTGTTCCCGGCCCAAGGAAGCCCAGCGCCTGGAGTACCGGACCCTCCCGGAGCAGCGAGGCCGTTTTCCTTCAGCGCCCCGCACCCCGGCCCCCAGCCCGGCGCCCCCACCTCACCTGCGACCCCGCGTCTCCAGTAGCGCGTCGGCAAACCTCAGGAGAGGCGGAGAGCGGCGGCCCACAAAGGAGGCCACAGGTCCCCAAACAGTCGCCATAGAAACGCGCCGCGGTACGGCGGCCCGCAGGCGTCAAACCGCGCGCAATGATGCCTTGCGCCTGCGCACAACGCAGTCAAGCGCTTGCGCGAGGCGGTGCCTCGCCAATGGTGGCGTCTTCGCCTCGGAGTTGGTGGGGGCTAGGGACTGCCAGCCGGGGTCCTGGGCGCGCCGGCCACCGATCTGCGGCCATTTTTGCCAGGCAGATAATGATGCAGAGAGAAGACAGGAAGACCTGTGGCCTCAGGTGGATGGGCAGACGAGCCTTCTCTAAGGATGGGTCATCCCTAGGTGCCAGCCCCATTTCAAAGCATTTTCCTGCCGAGAGGATGCAGGGCGTTGGGGACCTCGCCCCTATAACTTGTGTGATTCGCAGAAATCGACCTTTGGGAACCGGAGGTGGAGGGATCCGGGAGATGGAGGCGCCTGAGAAGCATCTTGGCCCAGGCAGACCTTGTGAGGATCTGTGAGGGGCTGCACAGAAGGTGCCTGGAGGACCCATGATACACGGAGGAGGCATGCTGGCCGGATTTCAGCAAGCAAGCAGGAGTAAGCAGGCCCTGAGATGGGAGAGATTGCAGGGCCTGGCACTGTAGGCTGTTCACAGCGACTGAAGACTTGGACAACCTGAGAAGTTGTTACTACACATAACAGGGAGTCTGGAGTTAGGGGTATTTCTAGGCTGACTCATTCAATGTCTAAAATTATCATCAAGAACTTGGTTTCTTAACATTTTATTAAACTTTGCCACCCTCAACCGGTGGACCTGGCTCCCTTTCTGGTCACAGGATGACTGTCCCTCTTGCTATTGTCACATGAATGCCAATCATCCAGTAGAAGAAGAAGACCTATTTCTTCCTGAATGGGTCCTTTTATCAGCAAGGAACATCTTTCCCAGAGGGACTCCAGCAGATTGCCTCTAAGATCTCATTGTTCAGAATTGCTTCAATTGCCTAGACCCATCACCAGCAAGGACACTGAGTGCACCACAGTCTACTTAGACCAATCATGACACCCTCCTGGGCTGGGCCCACCTCCCTCTAGTCCACAGATAGAGGACTGTGGATACTTCCATCAGTCAGGATTCAGTGAGAGAAGGAGAGCCAGTAGGGGATTCTATTAAGGTAATTATTACAGGGACTTGTACTTTTGCAATTGTAGGCGTTGGTTGAACAGTCTGAAGGCTGTGTCTGGAGTCCGAGGTGCACAGGGCAGACAATCAGGAAGGGAAGGTGGATGTGAAGTGGAGGAAGCAAGTACACAGTGGAAACAGCACAACCTGGAACCCACAAGGAAGGACTCAACTGTAATAGTGTGGTTTTCCTGCAGAAGCTGCTGCCATTAGTCACTGAACAACATAATACCTAACCTAGGAGTTGGAGAAGTGGAAAGCAGAGAAGGTGGTACACCTGCAGGTCCAGCTGCCACCTCATGCCAATGAGGTGAGTCAGCAGATACACAATAACATACATGTATGAGCTGCAATAATGCTGGTCCACACTAACTAGAAAGGGGTCTTGGCCAACAGAGTTGAGTCTAGCCAAGTTGGTATATTACAAGGTCATCAAAGCCCAAATAAAAATTGGGCTTCTGTTAGAAATGAGGAAAAGGAGTGAATGGTTGTTGATCATACAACCAGAAGTATCAACTACTGAAGAGCCACGGAAGAGTTTTACACAATGTTAAAAAAAAAAAGATCCACCTTGTTTTAAAAGGTAGCTCTGGATTTCTGCTCCTGTGATGGCTGTCTAAGTCATTCAGACCAACCTGTTCACTGAAACAAGAAAAACAGAGCAAACAAAAATTAAAGGCATTGTAGCTAACACAGTGAATAATAAGAGCACTAAGATCAAAGAATGACTTTTAGAAAACTGAGCTTGACTGTGGGGGTCATTCTTCCTGTATAGATATCTTCCTATCTGCATAAGGCATTGGAAGGCTTATTTACTGAGCAAAGCCTTCAACAGATTGCTGGCCTAAGGGACATAATTGTTACTTTGAAACCACAAAGGAGGGGCTAAATCCCAGGCTCTGGGTTGGAACTCCAAAACACTATACTCCAGCAGTAAGGTCGAAGTAAGGTCAGATCTTACAGGGACTGAAGCTCAGCTTCACACCAAATCCTGATTGTATTGAGGTGATCTAGGGTGTTGGTGTCTGGTAGCATAGTGGCTAAGGCACTTGACTGCTAACCAGAAGGCTGGCGGTTCAAACCCACTAGCCAGTCCTCGGAAGGAAGGTTGGGCATTCCTACTTCTGTAGTGATGCTGCCTCGGAAACCCAAGGAGGGGTCACTATGAGTCGGGGCCGACTCGATGGCAAACAACAACAACAGAGTGTTGGTGTGCTTGGCTTCCTGCCAGAAGCAAACATCAGTCCTTTCTTAAGGAAGAAATATCATCTGAGATCTCACATGATCTCCACAGTTTTTTTATAATATGTATCACAAAAAGAGCAACATGGACACAGGACCAAAAACCAAGAGAAACAACAGAAACTGACCTGTCAGAAGTCCAGCTTAAGATAGAACAATCAGCCATGCACTTTAAAATATGTTCATGGGTGTAAAAGTATTGGAAACAATAATAAGGAATCAAATTGAAATTCTAGAACTGAAAAAATACACTAACTGAAGTTTGAAACTCATTGGATTGGTTTACTAACAAATAACAACACTGAAAAGAGAATTGGAGAATAGATTAGAAGAAAATAACCACAAAGCTAAAAGATAAACGTTAATATTCAGATCAGAGTGTGATCAGTATAGGGGACCCGGTGAACAAGTCTTACATGTGGAAGTATTCTCTCTGGTCAACTCATCATCACCAGCACTTTTTCTAATGTCTCATCTGCATTTCAGAGAAGTTAGAAACTATTTCTCAGGATACTTCTCTGAATGATTCCAGATTGGTTAGAGTTTGCCACCATAAGCCACTTGCATGAGATTTGGAAAGCAGAAGAGAAGGACAGCTATTACGTTTCCTAGATTCATACTTCATACATTCCACATTGTGGTTATTAATGGATGCTTGCAGCTGTTTCTTCCCATTTTCAGTCAAGCCCCATCAGCAAATGAAGGTCCTGAAAGCTTTACTCCGTCCACATCATTAAGGTCTGCTCTACTTCAGGGAGGCAGCTCTTCTCCAGTTGTGTTTTGAGTGCCTTTTGACCTGAGGGGCTCATCTTCAGGTACTGTATCATACAGTGTTTCACAGCTCTTCATGGATCTTTCAAGTAACCTATCAGATAGTGTTTCACTGCTATTCATGAGACTTTCACTGGTCAGCTTTTTGAGGAGTGGATGGCACCTTCCTTCTTCACAGTATGTCTTAGTCTGGAAGCTCCACTGGATCCTGTCCACCATGGGTAACCCTGCTGGTATTTGAAATACTGGTGGTACAGTCTCCAGGTTCACAGCAACATGAAAGCCACCGAGTATGACAAACTGACAGATGAGTGGTGGTTGGGTTCTGGAGGCACATGCAAATGGAAGGGCACATGATTGGTTCAAAGCAGCCTCCAGTGATGCATGCTGGTATAGTGTCATTGCTATAGACGTTTCTATTCAAAAGGATCCCTGGAATCCAGCCAGGCATTTGTTGTGAGGTTCTTATAGGTCGCAAAGCCTTGGGATACGTCTCTTTGCCTCTTGACTGTACTCTCTGCCCTCTGGTTCCAGCCTCTGAGGCATTCTCCTGTTTTCTTGAGGGGTGGCCTATGTTTGACCTGAGTTGTTTTCTCAGCCCACCTCCTGTCAG